ACGGCGCACGCGCTTGAACAAAAAAGCGCATCAGTCTTTGGAACCAGTGATAATGAACATGACATGTCCTCTCTGCTGTTGGGGATACTTGCTGGGATTATGTATCTTTACATCTTCAAGTACCGAGGCCCCAACCCATGGTGCGCTGCTTCCGTTTGGAGGGCGATGGGCAAAGAAAATTGAGCCTTCCTGAGTTCCGGCATCTGCATGAAATTGCATTTAGGCACAAAGAGTGTCCGCTCTGCTGTTAACTTTCTTCTCTGCATGTTGCTGTCTCCGCACTTTTAACTGCAGCCAACATGCGAAAGCGTCTGTACGAATTCGGGTGGGATGGCCTGTTGCAATCTCGCTTCGCTACCATGTTGACTGTTCTGACGAAAAAACTCCAGCCTGCATAGCTAACGGGTACCTTCTTACCGTCCGACAACACCGAGAGCTTCAAGTCCCTGACGGCGCCTCATTTTCGGATGCTTGCAATACCTACTGGTTCTTAGTAGGGAAAATGATTTATACAATCCCTATATAATCCCTAGCTGATATATTCCCACATTCTCTTGTAACCCCAATAGGATACTGAGCATGAAGAGCGAAGCTGAGGTCCACACACATTTCAGGCCATCGGGCAGGGCATCATTAGCCAGTATGAAGCGGATAGGGGTGTCGGAATGGAGTCATGTAAACGTTTGGTGGGCAAGACGCCTATGCGCCCCTGAGCCTCATAGAAGAGAGTTGCACATGGCTCAGATCTAGACATGAGAAGTAGAGGGCTGTGGTGGCCGAATTTTTCTCCGCCTTTTTGAAATGGCCAGCTGAACTCAATTTGTGGCCAGCTAACTACAGAGACCTTTGTGGCTGCATCAAAGCATGCAAACAACGAAGCAAGTTTCCACAGCAACAGCCTTCTGACATGCAGACTGGGCATATGCAGCTGCCCATTTTCCTCCCAGCTGCCTCCCTCGTGGGTGGCTGCAGCCAGTCCCGCCTGGAACTTCGCGACTCAAGCTGAAAGGGGGGGTTCCATCCGATCTCCACGACTAGCATCAAGTTGGAACTGTCGAAGCGTGTTGTGCAAATTCACTGGAGAAGATGGATGAGGAGGCCAGAGCGGTGCAGAGAACAGCTGCAGCATGTCATGCAGCGGGCACCACCATCTATGAGAGGAAAAGTGCGATTTCTTGTTGCCACAGCTGACTGCTTGCACCACCATGCTGCCAATTCGCACTTCAGAGGCATGGCCAGATGCCTTGGGCATGCGGCCAGCCTAAGCATTTTTTTCGCAGCCGCTTGGATGACGGCGAGCAAGCGAAGCCTTAGGCCTTAGGCCAAGGAGTTTAGGACTTAAGCGTTGATTCTGATGGTCTCCAGCACTGATGTTGCAGCTGCAGAAGCCAAGGCTGCGACTTGTATCCCTGGCTGTCCAACACAAATCCAACTACGTCGAATACCGCAAGGTCGCGAAAACCTGACGCGCAAGCCGTTTGCAAGTGGAAGTCAATCAAACAGTAGATTCTCTCGGCGGGTGTAGGGTGCAAGCGACATGATCAGTCTCTCGCTTGCCAGATTATTGGTGCGCTCGGGCTTTAGCTGCTACATTGCTCTTGCTCTAAACGGTTCCGAAACGCAGCACACCGCCCATGCCCACCTGCTGCAAGCGATGCTTCACAACTGCAACATCTCTCTTGATGCCCATGACCTGGGCGAGGTATAGATCAATCAAGTCCAGAGCAAATGGTGCTTCTGCAGCCAAGCTTCATCAATAGATCTGGCAGGACCTTTGAGAAGCATACAGCCTGCCCGGATCAATCAAATACATGCCAATCCTGGCTGTGATTCATGGGGCAATATAAATGATTTTTAGGGGTATTTGGGGTATACCTCCACAGAGTGTAAGGGTGCCTTCCAGAAATTCCTCAGCATCAACGTGGGCATCACCATCCTTCGGGTGCTGTCACATCGTGGCCCAAGCTCTACTTTCACATCATACAGCCGAGCTTAGTGCTAGATATGCCAATAGCTACTAGCTGCTATGCTAGCTTTCACATGTTTGCGCCAAATTGCAACTGTTTCAGAGAACTGCTTCTGATCTCTAACATTTTGGCACGCTGACGACCCGGATATGCTGCCGAAGCTCTGAGTCCAGCTGGGTGAATAAGTTCCAGGCATCGTCCGCGCTGATTTCGAGTGCATCGAAGACATGCATGAGCGCGGGGTCTTGCAGTGCGACCTGCCAATGCAAGCTGCCAAGCGTGAATCTGGCCATCCCTGCTCTCCAAATGATTGGATCTGTGCTCCGCGCCTCGAATTCCTTGGCAGTTATGCCGCCGTCTCCATTTTGATCTAACCTTGGATGTGCTGGGATGGGTGACAGCTGGATATGTGCTTGGAAGGGGCCCGGTCACTGTATTTTCTCAGAGCAATGCCAGGTGCTCCGTGAAGCCAAGGCTCTGAGCAAAGAGGCGACGGACAGCTCTGAAGTACTTTGCCTTCTCTTGGACGACGTTCTGCAAAACCAGCTCATGATCTTTCTCGGCACCTTGTGCAGTTTGCCCGAACCCCTGATGCCGCATGTTGGTTGCAATTGAGCGCTGCACTCTCCATTGCACTTTGGCAGAACACGCCTCGAGTCAGCGCAAGATGTGTGGTGACGACAATACGATTCTAGAACTGAGCGGCATTCAGTTGCGTGCATCTGCAAAAAGGAAATGAGTTCAAGCACACTGCTTCTGCCTTAACGGCAAGTAGCCAGTGTGTGTATGCAAGGTCATCAGTACTCGCCCGCAAGGGCGACCAACAAAACAAACGTGCTATATCGCGCTATCTGCTAGAGATCTTCCTCCAAACAGGCGCTTCTTCTGTCATGTAAGCTATGGAACTGCCCAAACGCGCTTGCCTGTCATCACGTTGAGCACCTGAGATTAAAACAAACCGTATCCCACGGAAATGTTCTAAAAAAGGTCATGAGTCTCTTCTGATGTTCGTCACATCAGGAACGTGCGACTCATATCTTGCGTGCTGACGGGTCGCTGCGAACGTGCAAAAAGCGATGTATGCCTCAAAGAGCAGACCTTAGTTCAAGTCTGATGCTATGACTGGATTGGGCCAAAAATAATTCAGCCACTGGCCCCAAAGGGTGGATATCTCTGCCAGCGCATCACGGGCTTCGATCCACGTCAGGCCTTGGCAAATATTATCATAGCCAGCATGCCTTTGGTCAGAAGTGTACGTGCTGTTGGTTGGTATGGTATTCACTCCCGCCTCCAGTAATCGAGGCATATAACGTGTGCATGGAACTCTCGAGGCCGCCAAATCGATCCTCGATGAAGCCTGGACAGGGTTCCACGGCTCTCAATGTTGCACTGCCTGCTAGCTGCACGCCACTTGTGCTGCGCACTGGCATAGCGCCATCTCCCACCCCAGCAACCTGCGAGACCCAGAACAAACCTTTGCAGACCTGCCTACGTATCTCTGAGTGATTTCCGACGGTTCCCGCGTCATGTATTCGCTGCAGATGTCTGTGAATATCAAGCCAAACCTCAGAGGAGTCCGCTCGGTTTCACAGTGGCATATAGTGACATGTCTATGCGCGGACAGTGTGATGGGTGTGGGTTTTCAGTTTCGACCTTTCCAAGTCGAGGCTCAGAAATATGATGAGCCCGAGAAGCACAACCGACCACGCCTTAGCTGGAAACTGGAAACAAGGCATCTACATGTGCCGGAGCCATATAGATGTCACTTTCCAAAATCAACTCAAGCCTGCATCACTAAATGAGGCAAGGATCCATGGCTCTCAAGGTTTGGCCGATAGAGTAGAGAAGCTGTCGCAAGGACCGGATGAACTTGACAAGCCTCGAAAGGAGTGAGTATACTAAGCCTTTCAGGCTCTTCTCAAACGCCCTAAGCTCCCGTGTCCAGCCTCACAATGCGTATAGCACGCGTTATTCTACCAATGCGCAGAATTCGCAGAAGCCGCATGTTCGTCAGGACGCTGGCGCTGTCCTGCAGGCAACGCTAGCACGCTGCGTTAGGGCCTCCGGAGCTGGATGACCATTGCAAATGATTTACGCTCCTCTTGCTGCTGCAATGCCATCTCCAACACAAATTCGAATATGCTTGAAGACACCTGAAAACACGCAAGTTTTTGGTCGCAGGCAGTCAGGGGTTCCAGCTGCCAGCTTAGCAAGGGCAGCTTTCGATGCAGCAGTACTGCGGTAACGACTATCTTAGGATATGTCATGAGGTCAGCTCACGGTCGTGGTGGTGGTGGTCGTACTAGGCATAAAGTGAAGAACGACACCAGGACATCAGGACAGTCTGAGAGCCGCGCCACAAGCAAGTCCAAGAAAAGCCAAGCCCAGTCCTAAGCTTTTTCTTGGAATAGTGCAGGTCATCACAGCACAAAACCAACAGCTAGTTTCATGGATCACGCATAATACTGGACTGAATGCCATAAGACCGATGTATGTCCTAAGACCCAAGAGTAGATGAATTATTCCTGTGAATAGCTCCAGCTTTTTTTTGAGGCTGCCATCAAACCAAATATGATCCACATTTTATCTGGGGCGGAGAAAGCTGTGCAAGGAGCATGTTGGATCAGTATTGCCATTTCCCAGACCCGAAATTCCATAACTTTCCATATGCAGCACCGCACTCTGCACATATACCGCAAATATTTGCAGCCCTCAAATCTACTCCTGCAGAAATTCTATATGGCGCCGGCGACCCCTGTAAGTCCTTTCTCCCAAATTTGCAACGCATAAGCCAAATACAACCAGCACGATAGTAATCCCCTGTCATCGCTATTTCAATCTACGGCGCCCGCACATCCCCAAATGAACACCCATGTACACACTCACCATCCTGAAGGAGACCTTATATACACTCACCAAAACCATTCTGAAAACACCTTTCATAATCACTGAAAAAGGCTTGTCTCTCCATGTTGCCCTGCATTCTCCCCACATCATCCATAGATTACTCCCTACATGACCCTGTAGAACCCATGCAAATCCCTGCCAGCTTGCTGGCTGTTAGTAAGGAATGGAGTCCTTGATTCCTACGGTACCCCCTAATGAAGCAATTTTCAATGTTTCTTCCAGTCCTTCATTCCCTTCTAACAACTACTCTGCGGCGAGGCTCTGGTCCAATGAAAACAGTGATGCCGTGGACTGCGATACGCAGAAGCAGCTCCAAAGTGAACCTCACTTGGGTATGTGACAAACATGTCCTATGTAGAGCTGAAGTGAAAGCATTGCAACCACCATTTCCGAGACACCATTCCGAGCCGTTGAGAAAGGCTCACACAAAGTAGCAACAGAATGAGAGCTTGGCAGGAAAGTGTAGACTGAGCCGGCAATGAAGAAGCCAAGATCTTGGTCGATGCCTGCGCTTAAGCTCATGAGCTCATGCCATATACCTAAATGCCGCAACTGAATGAAACTACGAATTCCCTCTGCTTCCTTCGGTCAACCATGTAAATCAGTGCTTTCAAAATTCAGCATTCGTGCGGACAGCTCACTCCACGCAACTCAGGAGCTGTGTGCTCTGTGCAGCGCGGACGCCTGGATTTTGCGATGTTGCTTCCACCTGAATGGCGATGAAGACTGAGTTCGATAGGATCCTGACGCGCTCTCCATCACATTTCAAGGCAGGAAAGGAAGCACGTCTACCAGCTGCTGATGCCCAAGAAGCTCCCAATAAAGGCCCGGACACGATGGCAAAGATTGCTTCGAACCTTGGATAGAGCTTTGATGCTTCGAGAGCGCCACACCCTAGCACGGCAATTCCTCTTGAAGCTTGTGTCTCCCGATGCCTTTACAACTAGATAGAGTCCTCAGTAATGAGCACCGCTGAAATCTCCTACAATATCCAGCTGTAGGCGGACAGGCTGCAGCCAGGACTTGACAATGCGCGCGAGGGTTCGTCGTGGCCAGCTGAGCTTTTCATCCTGCGAGTCTGACCCAAAGGCTTTCACCGTGGCTCTACGCCTCAATTTGTCTCGTCCAAGAGCTGTCTCGGGTAAGCAAGTCTGTTCCGGTTTAAAATTCACGGGCTCCTCCTTGTCCAGGTGGGTATGGAGTATTGACTGCCTCAGTGGATCATAATGTCACTTTGGCATGATAGCAGGCAAGGAGGACACGCTTTCAACATTTTGGAGCAGCTTCGCTGCTGTTCTTGCGGTGTTCCTGACAGACGGTTTCTGAGATGCGAGCAAACAGCTGCCCACTTGCTGCCTGGCAGGTTGAGGTATCAGACGTTGGCGTAGTTTGACCAAGCGCTTCCGTTTTCCGGGCAACAACGCTCCTCATCATACCATTTCCACAAAAGGCTTCGTGTTATTCACACAAGGCAGGCATGAATGATGATTAATTACTGCTCTTGCCCATCACCAGAACCATAGCCCCCGCTGACGCCACTCCTGATTGCCAGGCCACCACGCCGCCACGTACCACCCTCGGCCCGTCAGTGCCGCCGCCAGCACCAGCACCAGCACCAGCACCAGCACCAGCAGCAGCAGCAGCAGCAGCAGCAGCAGCAGCAAACACCACCTGCACTCCCCTGCCACGCTTCTCCTGCACTGAAACATTGCTGTTTACTAGCACGTGCACCGCTACGGCCATGGCCACGGCCGCCACCGCTGCCACCACCACGATGAGTATAACGGCCACTGCTACCAGCCGCAGCACCACGACCACCACCACAATGATGACGACGATGACGAGGATGCTACTTATTCATCACGCATATCACGACTGTGCAACTATGATCAGAATTTGGTCCAAAACCATTCCCGATACCATGCGCACTGCCTACCACCAGCAAGCAGTCGTGGAGTTGTAGAGCTACAGGCATGTGCCCGCCTCAAGCCCTCACTCTCCTGCACTTCGAAGGCCTGCTCTTGGATACAGTGCACGTCTGGAAAATGCATCCTGCTGGACTGAACTTCTAGAGCTCTAGGCTTCCTGAACATCTGGCTGCCTAGCAAACAATCTGTAGTAGACCGAGATCATCTCAGACCCCCTTCCATCGGATGACAAGCGGGCAGTTTCACCAGCCTTGGTCCGGGAAACTCCCAGCTTCGGTTTCTCTTGCTCCTGTGAGCCACTTGAAAACTTTATATTTGCTGCACCTTTGCCGGCTTCTTCTTGTCAAGCAGATGGAGCTAGCTTTGCTTGTGCAGAAAGCCCTGATGTCCTGGAGCTCATCTTCGAGAATGCTCGCAACAACGTTGGCAGAGGGGCTCTCCACGCCCTGGAATGTGTGCAGGAAACAGCAAAGGCTGAAATGTGCCGGAGCTGGGCCTGCATTTAATGCGCTTCCACGAATTGGCATGTTAACCTGCAGCTTCTCACCCTGGCCCGTTAGTACTGTTTTGTGCTCCAAAAACCTGCGCCACCAACGCACAGTGCCGAATATTGTTGGAGTGGCCACGCTTGCCCTGGAAAATCCGAACCTGTGAGAATGGGATCCTGCCCTCTTGCGTGTGCTGCTGCAGGCCCTGTCTACAGAGTGTCCGAGCAGGAAGCTGACTAGCACTCATGTCAGCAGCCAGTGGCCCCAGAATGCTGCAGACAAAGCAGATTTCCATCAAAAGCCGACGCGAACATGTGCAAAACCGTGCTGCCTAGGTTGGAAGACATATTATCTGCTTACCCCAGCATCTGCAGAACGTTGTGAACCCTTTGTGACTTGCCGATGCGACCTGTTGCGATCGCCTCTCCTGGAGATCCCAAACCAATTCATCCGTGCTGGCATGCGGAACCCGCAGCAAGAAGGCTCTCAGCACAGCCATGATTGATTCCTGTAGTCGTTTCTGGCATTGTCTCGACTGTCACTCTCATGAAGCTCTTCTTACCGTCTCTATAGCTTGGCACGAGGTTGAGCCTAGTGAGGCCTGCAGCCGCAAGACCGGGAACCATTTTGCATGCAAGGTCCTCGTCCCTGTCGACACGGGTCTTCCGTTTCACCTTCACACAAGGGTATCTCACAGCCCCTACCCTGTTTTAAAGCAATGATCATTGTCTGGAGTTACAGCAGCAATTAAAAAAACGTTAGTGGCAGCAAGATGGTGGTGTATGGTGGTATCTGAACATATAAAAGAAATAAGATCAGAGGCAGCTTGACAAACTCGACAAAGGCAGTGTGTTCCGGCTGCTGTGCCTCTAACTCACTTTGTTTGTTTCCACACCCCCGTGCATGCCACTGCTTGCTCCGGCCCTTGTGCGCTTCGGATGCACTCCGGCTCCGTACAATACCTGGATTCGCCAGAAGTGCAGCAGGGGTCGCAGGGTGGCCCAAGACAACTGCAAGGGGGCTGCTGCGCACCAACAAAAAATCTTATCCGTGGTCCGTCGCTAAGCTGCCCCGTTCATTTTCTTGGATGCTGGCGGCCGTCGCAGTAATTCGGCGTGCCAGGGTGGCCACGTTTGCTCGTGCAGGGCCGAAGCTAGGGCGGGCTGCGGCTAAAATGGTGGGCAGAACTTCTGCAGCTGCTCGGCAACGTTACCTCTGCATGCTTTCCTTACCATGCTCCGTTCAGTCAAATCCAGATGGTATCTTACACTGGCGCCGCAAGCCAGTGAAGAATGTTTGAACGTGCTTCTGAATTGGTTCAGCCAGTGTAGGGAGCCTCGAACTCATCCTGTTGTGGTAGCACGGATGCCATCATGGTATGCTCTCGAAATCTGATGCTCTGATAGCATGAGCCTCCTCTTGTTCAGGCATGCATGCCCCCAGGAATAGATGCTCCTACAACCTGATGCTCTGGCAGCATGGAGAATGGATACTCTGTGGCTTGGACACGCCTGCGCCCACACTATGGATGCTGTTTTCGATGGCAAGCTTCATACGTGAAAGTCTACGCGAAACAAGACCAACAACCGCCATGGATACGAAAAACATCGCTAACTTAATCATGACGATGAAGCTTGCGCCGTAAACTGACAATCATGTGAGTACAACCTCGATGATTCTTGACCATGAGCATGATTGAAGAACAACGCAGCTAACAGAAAAAAACAGCATCTGAACACTATGATAGTAACATGTGGTGAACTTTGTGAGCAGCAATGAGTTCTGCGACAAGCATTTTGAATATCATCAAAGCTTCATAGACCTCTCTTCATCTTGCTGCTTTACATCAGGCGGTCCTAATGACGACAGTCCCCCTCCTGTCCAAAACGCTGCAAACCAAGAATCCAACAAAACCCCAAGCCCGCTGGGCCAAGCCTTAGTGATCGGAGCATCGGCGAGTGAGGGCTCTTCACCGGATGAGCAAAAGGAACGCGGCGATAGTGGCTTCGCCTGCTGCAATACGGATCGTGGCTGACTAGCACTAGGAACCATATTGGAATGCGACAACGAATAGTCACTTCCACAAGCAACGATTCCAACATGTTGACCCACGGCTCTCAGCAGCAGTCTACAAAGGTATCTGCACTGTCTGTGATGTGAGTGCTTAATGCCGAGATAGACAGGCCTTTCTGTCTTTGGAAGGCTGGTGGCGGGGATGACGAAAGCTTGGCTTCCGCTAAATACAAGCTGGCAGCTGCGAGTGTATGACACATGTGAAGCTGCAGCATTCCGGTTCCTTCGTGGGCAATACCTTCTCTTCTAGTATTGATGATGTTGATTTTACGCAAATGTTGCTGGCAGCGAGGGGACAAAATGCCAAGAGTATCCAAGGGTTCTTCAAGTGCTCGCTCGCGCTCTGGCCGTCAGCAGCAGCCCTTCGCGCTTCCAAACAGGAGTAGCTGCAAGATTTTCTGTGCCAGAGTCCTCAGGAGTTTCCGCTCGGCCCTTGCTGCCCTTATGCAAATGCCCTGCTGGCTTCTCCTGTGGAAAATTGCACGGCCCTCATGCCCTGCTCTTCTTTCCTTCTCTTATGCAGTCATTGCAACTGCCAGAGCATGCTGACGAAAGCATGATGCGAAAGCACGCTCAATACATCATGCTCCACGAATGCAAATGCAACTTGCGATCATGCCCAATGCAAAAGCACCCAAAAGAGGAAAATGTGAACGCTTGCCACAGGCTTCCATTGCTGGCTAATGTGCTCTGTCAGATGCATGGTGTGCTACGACTTTATTGATCAAGGCCTAGGGTGGTTAATTTGGACCCTGCAGGCCAACATTCATATATTAGCTTGAATCTTGCATGCCCATTGTCATCAGAAACGGATACACATCTGAAGACATTTGGCTCTCTGGTCTCTCTGTAGGTTGTCCATGTCCTTGCCTGTCGTGCTGCCAAGGTCAGGGCATTGTCCACAATGGCCTGTGCATTGGTTGAAAACAAGGTGCGCTCCCAACCTCCCAAACTGCAAGGTCACCCCTTTGCTTTACTTCTATGCTGGCTTGAGTAAGTGCTACTAAAAACGTAAAGCTACAACCTTCTTGCAGTAATGTATAGTAATGTTGCGCCTCCATTCGCGACAGCCACTCCTGACTACATCGTTGCAAGCGCTGGCAGGCAACAGCCAAAGCAACGACAAACGACAGCTGTGGTTGAGAAGTTTCGAGAGGATCATGCGCTGCTCTGTTTGGTCCTCCAAGCGCTGGAAAAGCTTTTCATCTCGCAGCTGGAGGCCAACCTCAGAGCTTCGAAGAAAGGTATGGGCAGGCTAATTGGAAGAATCTGCACATGCCATGCTTTCAGACAGCTTCCAAGCAATGCCCTTACCTGGTACTTGAGCAAGCGGCGTCGCCAGATGCCAAGGCCTGACTACATCTGTCGGGGACAGCGAGAAACAAAGCATTCCAAGACCCAGAGTGGCTGTGCGAGCCTCCTCCTCTGCAAGGACAGGCGGCTTGGTTGCGCTCTGCCGCTGCAGCGGCGAGTCAGGCAGCACCATGGCCGGACATGCCACGTTTTCTTCGACGGGTAGTATCTCTGGATACGGACTTTCTCTTCTCAAGTCTCAAGGCTGTGAATCCGCCTCCATGGTGGAGAGAAAAGGGTCATTTAGGTCTTAGGATGCCAGCCTGAGAGCCTCCCTGCGGTCCTCTTGCAATGTTGATGAGAAACATCATCCGTAATTTGCCTGCTGGGGCCGCTTGGAACAAGCACCCTCAGAGCCAAGAGCACTCGGACGTAACTAGGCCCTACGCTCGCCACCCACAGCCGGCCCTGAGACCCACATTTGTACCGGGCAAAGCAAAGCTGAAGTTGCTTAGCGGAGATGTTGCGTGGGACAATGTAGCTGTTTTTTACAGCTTTCGTTTATGATGCGCAGCACTTCTCCATGCAGTTGTCTTGCCTCCACCAGATAGGTGGTCCGGTGATTCCGTAGCGGCAATGAAACATCATAATGCCGAGTCACATTGAAAAATCTAATGCTTTGAGTCCTGCAAGTCCATCAAGCATCCGACAACCCTTGATCCCCTTGACTAAACCAGAGAGCAGGATGGTTTTCAGCGCTACTTGCAGCTGCTACTCTAGGACTCCTTACAATGGATTTGCGAGGCTTGCAGCCAGTGGGAAAGGTGTTGAATCGCAAATCTTTGGCCGTGCTCCGGTTACATAGTCGTCGTCCACTGCCCGCACAAAAATCCAGTGGAACACCTTCCATCGCTGACACTCAATTCCTTACGACTTAACTTCACACTGCCGGTTGCCTTTGGCAGCCAGGCAGTTTCCAGCGGTGCTGGGCAGACCGCCCTGGCGACCTGGCACTGCTTTTTCAAGCAGCGGTCGCCTTGGTAAACCCTACCGGAAGAAAAAAGGCACCACATCATGTAGCGGAGATTACATCTGGCCTTGGAGGCCGCAAAATCATCCCAGCGTGAAAGCTTTGTTGCTACCCAAGGCCGGAAGTGACAAAAGCAATGACACATGTTGACACCATATGACACCCAAGCAGGCTCGCCCCTGGCCTGCATTACCATACATATCTGGCAGCGTAGCCTGAGGGCGCAACGTCCGGCAGGGGCTAGTTGCTGCTCTTCACACCTAGCAGCGCTGTCACCTCCAGGCATCACATCTTACTTGGCATTTTGGACTTTGAAGCCATGCTCGCTTTTCAGATTTGTATGCCTGCTGCTCCAACCGCTGCTTCACAACAGCAAGATCTCTTTTGATGCCCATGACCTTGGGAGTGAGCAATCCGGCTCTGCAATACAAACGAGCGCAGCTTCATTCAGCACGCAGGGCGCGTCTGCAAGTTGTTCCATGAAGGCACGCATTGCTTGTTGCGGCTGGGTGTTTTGAAAGACTCGGGAACTAGCTTGAACTTAAGATTAGCTAAGCGTCGTCGATTGACCGCGCAGGTCCTTTGAGCAGCATGCAGCCTGCAAGACAGCAGGGATTGCATCCTAAAAGAGGGAGCAGAAGCCCTGCCTTCAAGAAATTCCTCTGCATCCACATGTGCGTCACCGTCCTTGGCCCAAGATGTGATTATGAGGGTACGTGGTCACAGCTAGACAATGCTTGCTAGTGGGAAGGGTGTGCACAGAGACGATCAAAAACAGCCTCGAGCGAGGCGCTGTGCGCAAATAACTTCTCAAATTCTTTGTTCTGCAGAGTCACTTGATTAGGCAATGTGGAATTTCCTTCCATTCCTTCCTCCACCTCTCTTCCTTGCAATCCACACTCAGCATCAACATTACCAGCTGCTGCCGCTGCCGCCAGCAGCAGCAGCAGCAGCACACCGCCGCCGCTGCCGCTACCACCACCGCCATAACCACCAACACCAATCACCATCGCCATCACCACCGCCACCGCCGCCACCGCAGCACCAGAGGGACCACTACCAGCGGCACCAGCACCACCAGCATCAGCATCCGCATCAGAACTAGCAGCACCACCACCACAACCACCTGCTGCAACGGCACCCGCACCTGCACCAGTACCTTTGCCACAATCACAATAGCGGCAACAACAGCGCTTCAACGGTCAATGCACAAATGCAAGTGCATTTGTCGCCAGCACAGGAAAGCATTGAAGTTTGTCGTATTTTGGGACAGCAAAACGCATTTTGTTTCCTGGAATTTTGAAACACTAGCTGCAACTCATGCTGTGCGTTTGGTGTCTTGTACATCGTTTATCGTTTCGTGAGTTTGGGGGCAGCTTGCACAGGACGTGCGCAAAACAGCGGGTCCTATAGTGAACAGTGATTTCAGGCTTCGCCGCTTTGTAGCCTTGGCAGCATTCTTTCACCTGTCTGCTTCGAAGTTTTCTTTGGCGTCAGTTAGAACTTGCACTTTAAAGGTTATGCTGTGTGGACGTACTTCCGGATCCGCTCTCTTTTTTCAACAGTTTATGTGGGTGCCAGCATGGTCTGTTCTTGATGGGTCGACGCATCAATGAAGCGTAGTTCCCCAGATGATCTCTTCATCGAACAGCCTTTTAGACTTGCCAGCATTTTGAAGTACATGTTTTGATCATGATTGCCTTGACGAATGGATTTGCTCGCACATTAACATTGGTAAGCAGAACTTAGAAATGCACAGAAATGCTGAAATTGGGCACCCTAACAAGACTATGCATTCTTGCCTGATCCTGCCCTTTGCAAGGTGATACACATGAAATGCTGGGAGAGTCATCAATTTCGGGTCTGGTGAGATGCGCTATTTACAGTCGCACATGAGCAAAGTGTCCGAAAGAACAACAATGCGTACTGCTGCTACCACTTCCTACTGCACTACTCTACATCTACGGCGGCTTCTGCTCCTGCTGCCTCTGCAGCAGCGGTGGTTCAAACGCTAGGCTATGCTACTTGCCTGGCGTAGGAGGATCAGCACCAAAGGAGCAGTCATTACGGCTGCTGCGGTAGTTCTACAGGTATTAGTCATAGTAAATGAGCTCAAGCACATTTATGAATTGATTCGGGACTTTTCTTCAAACATGGCTCCATGTTGTGCCTTTATGGCGCAGTGCTTACCTGCATCTGAAAGCATTCAAGAGGAGATACTCTTGCCAACTCAAAACTGCATCACTCTTCCTAGATTTTCACATTGTGCTTCAGCAATGGCTACTTGCTCTCGCATCTACTTCGGCTTTGGAATCCGCTCTGCAACAAGATGCACGTCTGCATTGGGGGTTCTGTTGTCACACAGGAGATCCAGATCTGTCTGAGCCCTGGTGCCCAACTGACCCTGCGGCCGAGAATCGGAATCAAGCTGGGTAAACAAGGCCCAAGCATCGTCGGCACTTATCTCCAAAGCATCGAACACCTGTATGAGCGTCGGCTCTTGCAGGGCGACCTGCCATTGATTGTATGAGAACCTTTGACATAGCCACACAACAAATGCATCTTAACACCCTCAGCGAAACTATGGACGATGGCCTCAAACTCTTTGACAGTTATGCCACCGTCTGCATTCTGATCCAGCCTAGGTATTTCTAGGCAGATAGCTTCAACTCATCTGCATCAAAGCTTTTGAGCTTAAGGCTGTCGCATGGCATGCAGCGTTCTTTTGACAATCTGCTGTATGGCATATTGCTGGAAACTTGTCCTCTTGGGGAGACTCATGCTAGGCCAGACTTGATAGACACCGGGAAGTAATCTTGCAAGCGTCGTAACGACCTAGAGGAAACGCAGCTTGGTATCTTGAAATTCGTTTTTCTGAGCGCAGGACTGCTGAAACAGCCGACGCACTGCCCGGAAGTACTTTGCCCTTTCATGGGCCAACATCTGCAAATTCAACTCGTGGTCTTTCTCTGCACCTGCAGCCAATCACAATATGCTATAGTAGTTTCCATTTTCTTTTCCATTATCCATGGAATATAGTACATTGGAATTATATAGGGATAATGGATAATGGAAAAAGATAATGGAAGCTACTACCAATTCATCTTTTTCGAGTTCTGTCTGCTGGAAGGAGGCATCCACGTCACACAGAGATAGTTAGGGAGGTGCAAGGCTACATAAGGACGCCGCTTTCGATTGCCGACTGGCAAAACCTGAGCTTCTGCTGGCAGGGTGGGCAGTTTGCTGCACCTGGGATTCCACTATTGTGAAAATCCTTGATTTTGATTGATTTTGTCGCGTGACCCAGTGCGCCAGCATGCCAGTAAGGCTTAGTATATGTAGCCACGTAGCCTACTTGCAAAGGCATAGTTAAGCAACTTACATTGCATCTCTACCGGATCAAGTGCCAGCATGTTCTTGAGCCCAAGAGACACGCCAGTCATGACGTTCAAGACCTTAGCATATCGGCTACTTGTCACAAAGCATGAAATTCGGGACTGTAGAGAAGAACGCGCACAAATCGGATAAGCTGGTCAAATGGAGAGGCCCAGCGGCAGCGAACAAACAGAATGAGATAAAGAACTGGAACATGATGCCTTGGCTGGTTCGGCTGGTCTCTGAATGGACTCTTACAGAGGGATGCTAGTGTATCTTGGCTTTGCACTGTTGCTGGATCTGTGACAAACCCAACAGAATGTACGGCAGCTCCTACTGCGCGATTCAACAAGCCGGTGCAGGCGCTTGCAGAATGCGGAATGTGGGTGTTGGTGTACCGAAGCTTTTGGCCTTTTTGGGATTCATTGACTTACTGTTTGCCGATGCCATCATAGCAAGTTCCAAGAATTTCGTCGCACTTGGCAGTTGCCTCGGCACTGGGCCGGTGTCCCAATGCTGCTAATGTGATGCCTGATAGAGACATCAAAAGCTGATCCTGGACTTGCGAGATGCGCTTCCATGATCGTTAATGCCCAGATGCCCCAAACAAAAGAAATCTCCGCAAAAGCATCGCGGGCTTCCACCCAGGTGAAGCCTGCTGCACAAGCTCTTGTCTGAAATGATTCTCTAATGCGCGCAGGCAAAGCAAGCTGAGACAACATGTGGATATCCTATCACACAGCAATTGATTTTCTTTAGCGCATTGCCTGTTTTAGGCTGCCCTGCATGAATCTGCTCAACCTGCTTCCTGGGCTGACCTTATCACTGGAGCAGCTCCAAAGTGCTTCTAGGCTCTTATGCGCTGGACAGAGCTTTCAACAATTTGCTCGCACATTGCAAACTCAAGAAATAACTTTGAGCAACAAACCTTCCAGCACTGACTGCTGCAAGCAGCTGTGGAGCCCTTACAAATGCGGTCCCTTAAAGAAAAAAGGCCGGCCTCCTGTTATGGAGGCGAACAGCGTGTGCATAGAGCCCTCCAGAGAACTGAAGCGCAGCTTCAGAAAATCTGCAGCAAGGACAGGAAGAAGTGATCTCTTTCTGATCTCATTACCAATCGCAATGCAATCGCATCATGAACATATTTGTCTTTCTTCTAGTTTTCACCTCTGTGATTCTTGGGGCAAAGTGACAATAGTCTAAACCCCTTAAAGGGGGTTATATAGGGGAGTATTTTAGGTGTTATTAAGGGGGATACTTAGAAGTTTGACTGCTCCAATTTCCATTGCAGGCTCTCGGAGTTGTGGAGTGGGCAAAAACCTCAACATGGGCAGTTCCCAAAATTATGGTACAATTTTGGTACCCCTATATATTCGGTGCCGTAATATACTCCGTGACCAAAGGGGCCCATAATTTTGAGAATGACCCAAATAACAAATGCTATTAAATGAGCACCCGCGGAGTACGGTTCGGCAGAGCTCCATGAAATTACTGCTGCTTACTGCTGATGGGGAGGCGTTGGGGGAATGGATCCCTATAGTAGTGCCTGTAATGGCTCTCATTTCCCGTTTCCTCGTTCCCAAGTAACCACCAGTAAGGTTGCAATACACTCATCAGATGCGGACCTGTGGTCACAGGATTCCACTGCTGGTCAGGGTTTGCGAAGTACTCGGTGGCGATGTCGGTGAACACCAGCCCAAATCTCAGAACAGAGCTCTTCCCACAAACTTCTGACAATTCTACGGTCAGTACACCGACCGCATTAAAGTATAGCAGTGCACATGTCCAGCGTCCTTAGGGGACTCAGACATGTGCACCACAAGATGATGGAGGAGAGATGCCCAGGAACGAACTGCGAGGTTGCAAAGAATTCCGTTCAATCTCAAAACAACAAGGGGATCCAGAGATATCCTGAGCTAAGTGTAGCGCACTTTGCGTCACTTGCAAGCCAAGTGGCAGGAAAATGATCAGTACAAGAAGCGCTGCTGACCATGCCTAGGTGATTTCGCCAGCAACCAAAAGCTTATGTCACCAGCTCTCACCAAGCTCCTTGATAACTCAGCACGGTCGCCATAGCTCGGAGCGTTTTTCCGATGCAGAACAGCAACGACCTCAATGCTCTGATAAACTTCACCAACCTGGCAGAAGACAGCAGAATAATGCAGCATGTGTACACAGCATGCAACATGCATCTCACAGATGGCATAAAGCTCTTGGGAAGGTCAGTCAGTACATACTTGCCAGCCAGCCTGATGATGCGTACGGCTCGCGTGATCTTTGCAATCCGCAGTATGCGCAGGAGGCGCATGTTCCCGAACAGGCTTTGATCATCAGGTTGGCCTTCCGCCTTGCATCACGGCATGATAAACGATTTGACGGTCTTCCCCTCGTGCATGCCCTAGCCATCCCTAGCATACGTCAATAGCAACTTGAGGGATGTGCTTCCTACTTAAATTACTGGGCTCTAGCTCTGCAGGAGGGATGGACGCTTGCATGTTCATCCTGGCCAGCCAAAGCGGAGTAAAGTGCCGATCAAGGGTCTCTCTGATAGGGTAGTTCCACGATGAACTCGAAGACGCTGGTAACTACCTCTGAAGACGAGGCCAGCCAGGCTGGCGAACTGCTTGCAAAACTTCCGAGCAGCTTGTGCATGTCTATTGAAGCAAGGTTGCATAAGGTATGTGGGATCCTAGACTTGAGGCACCCGTTGAATCCATGACAGAATACTGCGTGCTTGATGCTCTTGATTCTTTGCCAGCAGGCTGGAGGACTATACATAGACTTGCGCCAGGGGCTCCCAGCGAAACAGGAACGAAGACAAACTGCGACATCTGGAAAATCATCCTGTAAGCCATAAGTAAGCTCTGTAGAGTGGTCTGCTCTTTGACTCCCGAATAGGCTGCATCCAGGATGCTACTATGGTGTCCAGCAACGCCCAGGCCCAGTCCTTGCCGACTGGCCAGAGGCAAGGAACGAAGTCTGAGAACATGACTCTTGGGTCACGCCTGGAATGCTTAAAGCCATTTCAACGTATGCGTGCTGCAAATCCCGGTGGTTCAAGGGATCATGATAAGAGCGAAATCTGCAAGGTGGCACAAGATGGTTACCTGCTCTTACACCTGTCCCCAGCAAAGCTCGGGGTAATCCACTAAAATCTGGCGCCAGGGATGCGGGCGCGTTTAATGCTTTTAATGCACCTTTCCATGTTTCAAGTATTCCCTCTGGCAAAAATACTTTTGGATTTTCCGTGGTCAGTAGCATGTCGTGTTATTGCTGAACGAATGAAATAGCCAAAAGCCTCCATAAATTCAATAAACTCTGGCAAGCCTCTTTGGGCTCAATGTGTGTCAACGTACTTGTTAGATTTCATTACTTTAGACCGAGTTGATGTGTTTCGTACCTGAGGAGCGTTGCAATTTAGACTGCTGCCTCCTGGCTAACTTTTTTCATTGTTTCTTGATGGCAGTCTACGGAATGAAAGGCTGGCTAGATGAAGCAAACTCACTTTTAACCTAGTTGACTGACATCATGGTAAATCCGGACCACATGCACAAAAAAGCATCACATGTGTGGGCCCATAATCTATTTATCGTGATGACGCCGCATTTTCGCGACCTCCTGTGGTCGTAACCATATAACCCATGCAATTTTGTTGCCAGCTAACCCTGTACCCTAGATTGGGTGTCCTGCCCACAGAAGAGCCTGGGGCCAGCTGCAGCAAGCCGAAGCAGCAGCTCAACCGTAAACCTGGGTGGAGAAGGTCGGATTTGGCCAACAGCACAGTACGGGCCTCGACCACGGAGATCAGTCTGTTCCGTTTGGATAAGCTTCTTGCAAAGCAGGGATGAAAAGGGTTGAGCAGCATGGAAGCAGCGAACGCACATCTGGAGCAGTCGCGATCACGAAAGTCAGGATTGCGCATAGCATAGGAGAAACAGCCCAACAACCAGATTTTAGAACCTGTAAATCAGGGACTCTGATACTGATAAATGCTGAAATGCTTGGTTCAACTACCTTCGGGAATTCTAGGTCATGTGAGCCGAGCAGCAAGAGGCTGTAGACTGATGATACAATGAACAGGCCGAAGTTAGGCGGCCCTCCTTTCCGGGGAAGCACGCTGCATCGACCACTGAAAATATAAGATCCATCCCTCAAGCAGCAGATTGATCTTTATGGTCATCGTTGGCTTCATCCTACTGCTTTCACAGTCAACCCAATTCAATGAAGAATAAATTTTGTAGCGGGTTCCTGAATGCAATAGCTTCGCGGCGTTTTATGCATGGTTTCGCCTGGCTGTGAAGCGGAGTACTCGACCTGAATGGCAATGAAGAGGGAGTTGGTCATGATCCTTAGCGGCTGCCGGATTGGAAACAAACTGTGCAGGAAAACCTTCTGCAGTTCTGTTTGATCGCGGCAGGGCTGAGGCTCTGGCACACCAGCAAAAAAAGTTTCAAACCTCGGCACGAGCTTCGCGACCAAAGGAATTGCAACCAGAGTGCTGCTTGACTCCAAAATGGAACTGATAGCAACCAGGGCGGCCAAGCTGCGAGTAAGCATCGACTAGTTTTCGAGCCAGACGACTTACACGATTGTTCGGAGGATTCTCCTCAAAATGTCGCGGATGCCCCAGGCATGTGAGGTTTGGACATGTTTGCGAGTGTGTCCCGAATACGGTCTTATCAACCGCAATCACAGGCACAGGCTCCCTGGGTCCAGAGTAGGGAAATTGTACGGGGGATGAGAAATGAGAACTGTTTAGTTCCAAATTCAAGGCCTTCAGGAAATAGTATTATGCGGGACAGACCTGTTCATAGCCTTTAGCCGGATTGTCGAAGCCAGCCTCGGAAGGCACGCAAGGACACCAGGAATCCACAGACCAGCAAGTATGCGGCGCTTCCTGAAAGCAAATCAAATTCCATGCGGAGAGTTCTGTCAACAGTCTCCAGCCTCGAAGCTCTCCAGGTTGACTAGGCTCGTCCGGCCAACCTTTCCGAGCACGTCAATGGCCTCCACAATTTGAAGATTTTGAAATATTTTGAAGCTGAACATGGCTGCACTTGCTTCACCTTGATGTGTCGGAATTTGTGTTTTACCGCTTGAGACTGCGTGCGACCCAACTACATGCAACATATGGTCGGATCTTTCGCTCCTTCTCCTTAGACAAGCCGAGCCTGGTGGGAGGCAGCACTGCCGTCGCTGTCGTCAGATTTTGACATGCCAGACCGTCTTGATGCTCCAGACGCTGTAGACGCCTAAGGAAACGTCAGTTGCGTAAAGAGCAATGACGTCTGTGTACCCGCCAATGAATACTGTCTTGCTCCCGTCTTCGTGACTTCTTGCTGCATGCAACGGCAGGGGGCTTGCATGTGTGAAAAACTATCGACTCACTCTGGGATTTGCTGGGGATACCCTGGGGATTTCGAAGCATGACTCCCAGAAATGCGAAATGAAGGGCCTCCCGCGTGAATCTCCCGTCTCCTGATTAAATTGCTCCAAGCCAGTGCGGGACCCCCCCCCCCCCGTTTTACACTGTTATTATGCGTGGGGTGGACACTATCACCCTCGAGTTAGCAAAGCTCTTCGAGCGCGCCCAGTCCCAGAGTCATCCCATTGATTGTCTTGCCCTTTTGCTTTACCTCCTCGGCCCTCTTTTTGGGACAAGCTCCGCCAGGCCACCCTTATTCGCTTCTTTTTCTTCACTGGCCCCAAGCTCTGCAGGTTGACGACAGCCGGGCCGGCTCCTGGAGCCTTGTTTTCGATGAGGACCTGATCATGGGATCAGGGAACCATGTCAAGTGCTATCGATAGGCAACATAGACAACATGCGGTCCCAGCAAAGGACAGGAGTAAGTCTACTTCGGGTGCCTGGATCTGCTTGAAGCCGTCCTTTTCAGCAAACGAAGCATCAGGTCGGCACAGCCAACGTGACTCCGGCAAGAAGCATTCTCCGAGTCATGGGGATTGTGGGCATGCTGATATATGCCGCACTGCAATTCTGAATGGAGCTGTGCTAAGCTGCTCCGAGGCTACATCGTGAAGTGATTTCATGTTGTCTTCGGAGTTCCTCAAAAATGGCGGTCAGCTTCTCATCATGCCGCTGGAGCAGCTCCTGATGCGAGGCGCACCCTTGCTACGGATTCTGCAACGTTTCACGTATGGACGCCGCACTAAGCCCTGCTGACGGCACCATGCTGGCCAGCAAAGTTGAAAAGGTGTCTGCAGTAACTTTGCAATTTATTTACCGCTGGCAAGACCTCATGGCAGCACCTCACGCTTAGCTTGCCAAGTTGCCCTGACCAAGCCAGCAGATGCGGGCAGCCTGGCCTTCAAAAGAGGATCAACTACAAACTGCTGGCGCCACTATCAAGAAATTATCTGCGGTTTCCCCTTAACCAGCAAGTGCTTTCCGCACACAATCCACCTCAACATGTAGCCGATGTAACGCGGCCTTCTCCTCCCAATCAAAGGTGATGTCCAAGGCGGGCTCTGGCAGCTGCGCAGACGCATCGAAGCTGGGGCCGCTGATGCCCGGGTCATCGTTCATGGCACAACACTCCAAGAGGAGCTCTACTGTAGCTGCCTAATGATGTTCTATCCTTTACTTGTAACAAACTGTCTGAACGGAGTAGGGGGCGGGGACTACCAGCGCCCGGCAACCGCATAAGCTTCGAATGGGCGCCTTGCAAAGTGAGTTTGAAGCCTTGCAGCAGAACGAAGCTGCCTTAAAGATCACATGCGGACACAATGTGGACATAAGCCTACAGCTGAAGCCGGCAAACAGCTAAGCAGCAATGACACCGGTGTGCACAACACCCGGAAATCTGGGCAATGCAAGCTGCTATATAATTAGTTCCCCTCCTCCTACTTGCTTTGCTTCGGCAGCTTCCTCTGCTGCCTTTTAAGGCAAGGCATTCACCATGTGATTGCATGCAGCACAAATCAAGAAGTGTACCAAGCATGGGCTTCGAAGCATGGCCCCTGCGCAAGTGAATGACACGCCATACATGGCTCAAGTGACGCACAAAGTGAAGTGCGCAGGGTCGTGGGGATCCTCCCGGGGTTTACTTCCGTGGTAGCTCCAGGGCTGGTTCAGGGTTGAGGCAAGGAGGTCAGGTGTGCGTGTGGAGGCCCGATGATTGGGTAGCCCTTTGGAGCTTGATCTGACTTTCGTAGGCTATGGCCCGGCAGTACAGCCATCTAGATGATGTTCCCCATAGTGTGAGGCGGGCTCTAGCTGGCGCTAGTCCTGCTTTCTCCGTTATAACTGATTCTACGACTCCTGAAGCCTTTCCTCAAACACAGGTTATGAGCCCAAGTGACATTAACATTACGCAACTGTCAGCAGGAAGCATTCTGCCACCAGCACCAGCAGCAGCGTCAGCAGACAATGTGCGGGTCCGACTGCAGCAGATGCTTCAAATACAAGCACCCATCGAGGTCCTTAGACTCCTACAGACCGGTCAACATGAGATTAGGTCAGAGGCCAAGACTGCGAAGGAGGTTTCAATTGAACGTGCAGCAGGTGGCTTCGGAGCTCGAAGCACGGACTGAGCGATTGGCATCTTGTTTGCTGAGCTTGACGAATGACGTGGAGGGTATGCGGCTACAATCTGATACATTGTTTCGAGCTGCTAATGAGCATCATGGTTTTTTGACGAATGCAGACAATAAGCTGTCTGAGCTTTTTACCAGAGTGCAGCAGATTGAACAAGCGCTATCGGCTTTGTCCCGTGGACAAGTATCCTTCGAATCATCCATCAAGAGCCGTATAGATGTTCTTGAGCACGAGATACAACAGATGCAGACCTCAAGGGCGGCAGCGGACGCGCTGCAAGGCGAGATGGCTTCGATGAAAGCTGTTGTGGCCAAACTTGAGGTTCAGTATCATGAGCAAGAAGGACGCGCGCGAAACCGATATGAAGAGATCATGAAGTCCGTTTCAGGTGGCCATGAGAGGTCAAATGAATTGGACACCAGGCTAAAGCTGGCAATGGAGCGTATTGTTGGAAGTGAGCGGTTGTGCGAGAAGCTTCGAAAGGCCGACGCCGACCTTGAAACACAATTTCGACAGCTTGAGAGCCACATTGGCGACGAATCGCAGCGACAGCATCAAGCAGCAGCGACGATACCATCATCGAGCGATTCTTCCCAAAGTGATGCGCCGCAAACTCCAAGAGCTAGCCAGGGTCCTGTGGAGTTCAAGATGACCCCACAGATGAATGATGTGACTTGGCAGGTCGACGCTACCGCTGGGTGGTACGATGACGGTGACGCTGAAGGCACGAAGACGCGCCCACAGATTGGCATCACTTCCTCTCCACCTGGATTGCCAAAACATATGAAGAAGCCCGTTGAGGTTCCGCAGTCTTCCTGGAAGTTACTGAAAGACATGCCCAAGTTGAACGCTAATGCAGCTGAGGCTTGGGAGAGAGGAGTAGCTTTCAGGCAGTGGACTACTGAAATGGCAGCGATTTCAGAAGCCATTCACCCTTCGTTTGCTGAATATTTCAGAAACAAGTTGGATGAAGGGCGTATCCGATACGAGAAGCGCTTGGAGCAGGGTTTTGACGAGCCACCTCCGGCGGTTAGGCCAGAGGATCGGGAGCTGGAAACGAGGCTTTCGCTGGCATTGCTCAAGATTCTTCCAGGGAAAATGAAGACCCATGCTTTGGAGCGTGGGAACACCTTGGATGGCATCAGCGTGGCGGCTCTTCTTGAGGCCGTCTATGAGCAGATGACACCAGGAGGAATTAGGGAGAAGAATTCTCTGCTTCAGTACTTGAGATCACCGCCGGCATCAAACACTGGAGAGGAGCTCACCGCTACTCTCAGGCGTTATCGTCTTGCCCAGCAACGAGCCAGGCATCTTGATATTCCACAGCAAGCAGCCCATGAAACTGTTGCAGCGCTCGACGCGATGGTCAGGCCATTGGAACGCAAGCATCAACCCTTGGGCGTACGCCTCGGGATACTCAGGCTGCAATCCAACATCCAGATCCCCACCGTAGACGGCGTGGAATTGTATCTCAAAATCTTGGAGGCTGAGGCAATCAAGCTGCAAGCTGAGGACATTTCAAAGCCAAAGAACGCTAAGGCAGATTCTGAGGAGTATAGCATTCCAAATGCGAATCAAGCTGCAGCTGGAGGCAAGGGCGGCACGAGACTTTGTGCCTATTTCAATACTGCTAGAGGTTGTTTGAAGGGCGCTGAGTGTGAGTTTCGTCACGAAGCCAAGGGCACTGGAAAGGGTGCAAAGGGAAGTGAGAAAGGCGGCGGGAAGAGCGGAGAGCCTAAGGCTAAAGCCAAGGCGATGCCAAAAGCAGAAGCCAAGGCAGCGGCCAAGGCGGCAACCAAAGCAGAAGCTGAAGCAGCAGTGGCAGCTGAAGCAAGAGCAGAAGCAAAGCGCAAGGCCAAGGCGGATAAGAAGGCTGCTAAGGCGGCAGCCAAGGCCGCGGCGATCACTGCGGCGTCCACAACCGTAACTGCGGCAAGTGTTACTGAAGACGCAGTCCCATTTTTGGCTGGAGCATCACCAAATACCTCTTCTTCAAGCAGCGCTCCCAGGGTATTAATGGCTCAGGAGGGCGCCGAATGCGGAAGCCAGTTTGAGGAGGAAAATGAGATAGTAAGCCTGGTTGGTGTAGACTCCGCAAATGAGGATGAGCTCAGTGATCGCGAAAGCCATGATGTCTCGGATGTGGATGGGATACCAATGCTTGCAGATGCTAGCACCCCGGAGTGGTCGGAAGTGGAGCAAGGTCAATTTCCTAGCCCAGCTACCACGCCACGTTCTGACAGTGAGGTTGAGCTGATTGGTGTGAGAGGTCCTCCTGCACCCCTCTGGGTTTTGAACTTGACATTGAGCGACTATGTAGCATGGACGCGTCAAGGACACGTACAATCGTATGCCCACAACCCTTTTGAGGAGGAGACCAATCCAAATTCCATCATGTGGCCCACATGGTGGACCATAGCATCTGACCAACTGAGCGATGACGAAGATGGCACCATTCACGTGGTGGATGAGGTGTGCATGCTGCGATGCACGACGACGATGGTTCTGTTCGAGGATGGGATCATCAGACCAGTTTTCGTGGTGTGGCTACTTGAGAAAGTATCCGGAAGAGAGAGAATGGCAGCTTTGATACGAGAGCAGTCTAGGCCCATCATTCGGCCATGGACTGCGCAGGAGCTGAGCAAGGCAGCCCCACCGAAGACCGAAGGATGGCCCAAGGCAAAGATGCCTACTGTGCCAACTCCCAAGGGTACGTTTGGTGGTGTTGCGCATGCTTACATGCACGCAGAGAAAGCTTCGCCATCTTCATCTGGATACATCGCAGGGCCCGCTCGCACCTCGGAGCTGGCAGTTCCCAAAGCATCATCAGCAGTTCCCA